ATATCCAATCCAAATGCTTTGGAGTAATAACTTTACAGAGAGATTCAATAATGAAAAAAAAATTAAAATCAAGTAGCTATTGCTTCAGTCAGCTTCCAGATGTTTTTTGAATCAGTCTGATACCTTTCCAGTAGGTTATACTGTCATATTTAATGCTTGTCTCTTATATTGATTTAATTCACCTAGTACGCATGAAGAACAGAGTTTTTAATTAAATACGAAATTAATTGTAAGAAGAGTTTGCTGTGACAAATAATAACAAACTTTTCCTGGAAAGACTTCGTCTCAGAATATTGTTCCTATGTATGACAGACAACACCCTTTCTATCATAATGGCTGAATATTTTTTTCTTTTAGCAGTAGAATTTAGTGACGAGAGCATGGATGATGCAAAGCACCTTCTTCAGGCAATCTCCTCATTTATTAGAGATGCAAATGCTTATGTAAAGGGACAGCTGGTATGTGACCCTGTTAGAGAAGACATACTGTGGGAAAGGTAAGTGCATCTCCTGTATCTGAAAGATTGTGAATATATGAGCAATAATTTGCTGACGGGCTTAGAGGGCTGACCACTATAGGGTGCTGGGTTCAGTCTTTCCTGCCAGCCCTCACCAAGGGCAGCGGTTTTTTTCTCCTTTATCTAGCCAGCTGCATTTCCTCATAGTCTGCTACGCTTAGCTCACTGAATTTTTAAAATCCATGTTATTTATCTAGTGTGCCTGTCCCAACACTTGCATCTTTGCCCCTCTTGAGTGGTGTAGGAGGCAAAGCTGCGACCGAAGTTGTGAGACTATCGGGTTTGTAAGTAGAACTATGCATTAGTGACTGAAGAAGAAAGAGGATGACTGGAAAGTAATATGCCTTGGGCACGTGAGCTTGTAATCAAGCTGGCTGGCGCAGTGGCATGCAGCAGAGAGTAAGGGGTTACTAAGAAACTGGCCAGGGTAGAGACGTCACAGGGAAAGAAGAAATTATGGTTGCTGCGACCCTGACAATGATGAGGAGAATCTCCTTTGGAGTCCCTTAGGAAAACTGGGGCATCTTCCAGGAGAGAGAGATGTGCTGTGTGTTGGGTGCAGAGCTGAGAAGATGAGTGCAGTGCTTTGGTAGTGGGGCAAGAAGGGCGTTGAGCATCCTGAAACAATGTACATGCTGGCAGCTTTGGGACATAGGATCAGAGGGGAAACATCCAGGGCTGTAGAAGCGAGAGGCGGCTTCCTTGTGGTGCGGGCACCTTGCTGTCGGAGGGCTGGCAGCTGCACCAGCTAAGGCTTGCAAGGGGCACTGGGACCTGTTACAGGGAAGTGGAGTTGAATTAACAAGTTGCGGTATTTGGCAGAAGGGAGTCCTGCAGCAGGAGGCTGCCGGAGACCTGTTGGTGAGAGATAAGGCTGAGACGCGAGGCATGCGGGGAAGTTGAAATGGATTGTCAGCAGGGCATGTGTGGGAGGGCAAAACTTGTGTATCGCTAGATGTAAAAACAACTGTGATGAAACAGAGTTCTTACTTAGGAAAGTGGTAGATCTTCAATGGAGAAGGGCAAGCTGGCAGCGGAGAGGGCTGGGAGGAATGGTTTAGGGTAGCATCCATCTGATATCTGAGGGGAGACAAGCAAAATAACTCAGAAGCTGGCACAACAGGGTTAAGGAGAGCCCCAGAGGCGCTAGGATAGCTTGAGGTTCCCCAGGTAACCCTGCTCCCTGATTTTTATGGTGAAATGGCATCCTGTCGAGGTCCGGTTCGCCTGGCTGTGTACAAAAGCGTGCTGCCAGCAGCTTGCCATTAATTTCCGCTGCTGTCCTCATCCTCCCGCTCACAGCAGCTGCAGCGGGTGGCACTGGTTCTGCGGCTGTGAGTGCTGGTTGCCTGCTGGCTTGTGGTGCTGTTACACCAACCGTCCCGCCAGCCCTTTCCATCTGGGCCAGGCTGAGTGGAGGCCCGGGGCTGGGGTTGGGCTTGCCTGGGAAACGAGGGAAGCAGCGCCTGCTTCCCAGCTGGGACCTGCAACAGGACTCCTGGCCGACCTGGAGTCGGCTCTCTTGCCAGGCACTGGGGTGATGCGCGTGACGTGGCTTTGGAGGAGAAATACGCAGTTAGCATGAAAAACAGGCTGCTGCAAAAAAAATAACTTAGCAATATCGTTAATGTGCTTAATATCAACCTCATTTTCCATCTGTTTTTAAATGATTAAGGCAAGCCTTGCTCTGCTGTTGTTGTTTCCTGTGATTAACCATGTATTTATTGAACGGATGTAGCACTTTGGATTTTGACATGTGTCAGGTTTTTCCCTTTGCAGCTGAAAGATGTATTCTCCCTGATCAGCGTAGCATCGCCCATCATAGGACGGCTAGGAAGGAAACGACAGTGTCCTCTTGATGACTCCCTCTGGCTGAAGAGCTGATGAATTCAGTGTACTGCTGGCATCTTGTTTGTCTTATCTTAAAAGTTACCTTTTCCTCTTGAAGGCTAGCCAACACAAAAGTAACCGTGAAGGCTGCGTTTGCAGATGACTTTGACACCTCCAGGGCTGTTGCAGCAATTATGGACCTCATTCACCATGGCAACAGACAGCTTAAGGCTGTTACTAAGGTAACCCATTAGGATACAGAGATCAGAAAATGACAGCTGTCCACTCTCCTACCGCTTAATGCGGACAGATTAGTTTATTGTTCACATAAGAAACCAGCAGAAACAAAGCTCCATAAATTGTTGACCTTAATGGTACCCATTTGTCCTGACCGTATCGCAGGAGCTCTGTACGGCTATTGTTTTGTGCTTCATGTCCAAAGGATGTTTCTTTCCTGCTGCCCTGTATTATTTATACCCAAGGTTTTTGAAAGGCCTGAAGCCATTGTGGCACGCTGCTCGTTTTAGTGCTGGTTTTATGTTCTTACCCTGCTTCTTTGCTTAATACCCGTGCACAGAAATCAACCTAAATTGGGAAATGGTGGGGGCGGGGGGGCATTGCTGTGGGGGCTTTGGCAGGCAGTCCCAGGTGCACGGGGCAGTCATGACGGTGAGTTCAGCTTTGGGGACCGAGTGGCTTCTGCTGTCAGCAGATTGTAACTGTGGCTTCAGCATGCCTGCATGAGTCTGTCTTCAGATGGCTTTTGGCGAATTGAGACCCTGTCTGTTCAGATCTCTCGATGCTGACACAAAGGAGGTGTCTGGTAAGGACGAGACCTGAGCAGTACACACAGCCTGGAGCACTTCTGGGCCTCCTTTTACCAGCAGCTCCCTTCCTCGCTCAAGGCGAGCAGCTCAGCCTTGTTGCTGTGCTCCTTGATTGCTGGTGTCGTCACGTCCACCATGTTTGTGCTGTAAAAGAAATGTTGAGTACATAGTAAGAACTGATTTTAAGAGAGAATTAGCCTGGTGGGTTTTGGAATCCTGCCTCCTCCTGGTCCTGTTTGGGCACTGGCTTTAAATTCATCAGGCTTATCTTTACAGAATGAGCGGATCCCTGACCTGAACCAGTTTGCAGCAGGGGTCTGTAACAGCGTTACCACTCCTAAATACAAGTAGCCTCATCTTGCCAGTCTTTTCTCCTGTCCCCTGAATTCCTTCTGTCAATCATTTTGTGGAGAACTGGGTGGGGTATTTGTGGGGCAGCAGACTCCCGTGTCTCGTTGTAGTGGTGGAAAGAGGTGGAGAAAACACACAAACCAGTGTTTTCTGGGTGCAGCCCAGCTGTCTGAGTGTTGCCTCTTACTGACTGTGTGCGTAGTTTTTTCTCCTTAAGAACTGTGAATAAATTCACATAAATGTAACTACTCATTCCTCTCCTTAACCTTCTCACCACTCTTACCTTAGTTGGCATGTTCCTGTTTCTTTCCCTCAGCAGTCTGCTTCAGCTCATTCTAGTTCAGACCTTTTCCAAATTTTAGGTTATGGCTTATCTGAGGCCCTAATGGAGATGTCGGATAAAATCCAGTAGAAAGAAATACAGGTGTTCTTAAAAATGCTATTCCATTGCTGCTGCTGGTGGTTGCTGCTGCTACCAGGGCATGACAAAAAGCTGTATCTCAAAGCAGTTTGCATGTTGCTTAAATCAGTAAGACACTCAAAAAAGGATTTGGGTTTTTTTTAATAATTTATTTTATAGGTGCCTTTGGAGCTGGGGTTTTGTTCTTTTATTTTTGTTTTCATACACACCACCCTTTCATGCCCCAAAGTGCTATTTTTAGGTCTAATATACTGCGCGCATGTAATGCACAGCAGCTTCATGCATCTCTTCTCCTTGCTGCATGTGCTGGTAATAAGCTCATCCCCCTCCCCTGTTTACTTAAATCTTTTTCTTTTGTATTGTGAGGTGCTTTTATAGCTCTGTAAAAGTTCCTGTCTGGGCAGATGTTACTGGTGGAGGTAGATCTATATAATTAGTAGTAGTTTTCCCTTGTGGACTAGGCTACAGAGAGATGCTGAGTTCTGTAATATCTATTGATTTGACAATCTCTTTTGAGTGTTTTTTAAACAGGATGCTGGATCTCCTAGAAGCTCTGTTGTGTATGGAAGCATTATTTCCTATATAGAAGGCTTTTTTAATGCCCTTGGGATGTCCTTTGGAGAAAGACAGGTACGAAACATCTCTTCTATGTGTACTAGCATAGGATAGCAGCTCCAGCATTATGTTTTGTAGCACGCTTTCCGAAAGTGTCAGATGTAACAAAGTTATTTATGGTTTTAGTAAACCTTTCTGCACTGCTTGCAGTTTCTGCCATGATGTCTTAGGAGAGCATGTGAGCAGGTGGAACAAAGTGTGGGCTTTTTTTTTTTTTCCTTAGAGGTACTCCCATGTGACTTTGGCAGCAATTGTGCTGTGGAAATGAAAGTCTGAGGAATGAAACAAGAAAAAGTTAGCATTGGAGGTCTTTAAGTTGGTCCTGTTTTGTGTCTGGCTTTCCCCTGGCTCTTCTTCTTCTTTCTGATGGTTGCACCCAGGCTGTCTCTCATAGCTGTATGAATATTTGTGGTTGTGACCTCCCTGCACAGCAGAAGCCAGGGTCCAGCTCTGCTGCAGAAAGTTGGAGTGGAGGGAAATGGGCTGCTCTGCCTTGAGCCATGGTAGCGTGTGGGGATGGGAGGGCAGAGGGAGGCCCGTCATTGGAAATACCTTACACATCCTCTAGTGTTGGGCAAGGTAGGAACAGGGAAGGAGGAAAATAAAGGAGAGAAAAGCTCAAAGGAAAGTACTGCACGGGGAAGAGAGTGATCAATATGGGGGCGATATCCTGATGTATGGAAGGGGAGCATTTAAAATGACACAAAATGTTGGAGACTAGCAGGCTGTTCTGTGCTTCTCTCCTGCCCGAATCTGGAGCTGAATACCAAGAAGTTATAAACTTTCTTTAGAGAAACCATTCTGCAAAAACTTGTTTTGATGAGGAGGAGGAGAGTGTAAGAAAATGTAAATAACCTTATTCATCCTTTGAAAGTCCAACAGCAATAGCAATAAATGCATTTATTTACTTTGCTTCTGTGGATTTTTTCACAAAATTTTTTTCAGAACAGCCGTTGGATGTGATTTGGCTGTGTGTTACTCCTCATAACCCATGGTTTGTCATGTTAATTTTTTAGTCGCATACTAAACGCTTCTATTTGTCTGTAGGTTGGAAGGCAAAGTCATTCCTCCAGACTCTGGGCTGCCTGTATGCAGGTGCCTGCTGTACCTACATTTTTGCTGAAACAAGTGTCTGAATGCGTTTCTTTTTTATATGCTGTGCTAGTTTCTCTGGGGCACTAGGGTCAGCAGAAGATGTTGGGTGAGGTAGGCAGGAAGGAGCAGCACATCAGACTCTTCTCTGTCCCTTTGCTTTTTCAGCATCTAGTAAATGAATCAATCAAAATCTTCATCAGAAAGATCCGTGGGCTGCTGCAAGCTAGTAGATAAAATAGTGCAGGGCTTGTTCTCTGACCTCAAGACCAGTCATAACAGCTCAGCATCCAAGCTTTCTTTGCTCCTTGACCCCAGACGTGCCGCTTGCTGGGAGCAGTCCCTTGGCTATCACAGGTCCTGGCACGTGGGTTGTCTGGGAGAGGGCTAGCTGGCCTGGCCACCACAGTGCTAACAATTTTATGTAGAGGTTGTGGGAAGCGGTGTTCAGGCCTTTTTCATTTGGCTGTTTGCCTATAGCCTGTAGGTCTGTCTTGCTCTTAGGATGGGATTCACCTCAGCTAATTAGCCTTACAGTCTAATGTAAGCTGCCAGTGCTTCTGCAGTAGTTGGGAGAGAGAGAAATGCACCGCTAAGGGACAGTTCATCTTAGTCTGGTGGTTGTATAAAATAAGACCACTCATCTGTCTCTCTGTGGTGGTAGGAGAAAGAGCCTGGACAGCCATAGGCAGGTAAAATGAATCCATCTGAAAAGACGATGGGTGGAAACCATTGTGCCTGTTTTAGAGCTGGGGAGCAAACGTGAGGGCTCTTGCTCTGCTGAGGAGCGCTCTATTGTGGGTGCAGCTGGGGGCAAGGCAAGGGCCAGATTTCCATATAAAACTTCTTATGAGCTCTTTGGATTGGTTGATGCTGCAGGAGAATAAATCAGAGATCAGGCCTGAGACACAACTATACAGTGTTTTATGTGGAAATCGGATCAGTCCATCTCCTAAAGCTGCCTCTCCTTTTGGAGGATCTTGCCTTGTGTCATGAGTAGGTGCATGTTTCTTGCATGTAGAGGCATGTTTCTTGTTCCCCTCATCACTTGTCTTTCCTCTTCCTTCTGTATTTAAGCATTTATCCTGCTCTTTTACCCATCCCAGGTTATGATGGAGCATTTCTGGCACTTAGATTTATTACCTTCTTCAATCTCATAAACTAATTCTTTAGTATGTTTACGTGTTCTGAAAGTTTGGGGACTGTGCTGCCTTTTATGACTGTAGAGAGCATTGAGCATCTCACACCCTAACCCTTCGATAGCTTCCCCCTCACCTCCTTCTCTTTGTTTGTTTGCTTCAGTCAGTGACCTCTGAAAGTACTCCCTTTAATTTCCATCCTGCTGTTCGGTGACTATAAATACAGTCCCCTCTGGCTTTAATTACTCAGCTGCTCTTCTGTTCCTAGTTGAGCGTTGCTGCCAACAACTTTGCCCCCCAGCCTTGGTGTGCTTTGCCTTTTGCTGCTCCGTTGTCTGTTCCCCGCCTTGTCTCTTAGTCATAAAATACAGCGATGGCTTTTTCTTGTTTGTTGGAGGTTTGTCCTTTTCCTCCCCCTGAGGAGTTTGCCTCTAATGAGAAACAGGGATGGTTTCTCTGCCAGGAGTGAGACCAGGAGCCTAGCCGTGCCAGTGCTGAGGAGTACCCTTCCTCTTCTGCTAGCACCTGAGCTCCGGTCCCGGCAGCCGTCTGAGCGGCACCCTCTAGGAGGAGCGAGGCCATTCCCTTCCCATGGCTTTGACTAGCGAGACTTCTGCCAAGCCAGAGAAGGCTGAGGAAGCTTGGAGCTGGCTGAGGGAAGGGGGGGGCCGTGCAGGAGCCAGAAAACACCCACTGTGTGTAATGGCTGCTGCTCCGTCAGGTCGTCTTGGGTGGCTGAAGCTTTGTATAAGGCAGATCAGATAAAAGTTCTGTGGATTTGAGGAGGTTTTCTGTAGGTGCAAGGAGAAAGGGTAGTCTAGAGAATTAAAGCCAAAATACCTAATTTTCCTGGCTTGTGTTTCCTGAAGTGGGTCTGGAGGTGAAAGGCAGAGTAAGGCGCTGGTGGACTCCAGCTCTGCAGACGTTTACAGCCGAGGGACTATCTGAGCTGGCGGCTGGGCTTCCCTTGCTGTGTCGGATGGCTGTTGCCAGGCCTTTCTTCCATTAATTTGTCTAATCCCTTTTTAATTTATGCACGCTTCTGGCATCTAGGAGGTTTCCTGTGGCAATGAGTTCCACAACTGGGTTACACAGCATGTTATGAGAGCTCTCTGCTCCAAGATAGATGCTTTCCTGTATAGGAATACACTGAACTACTTCCAAGTATGCCTGTACTGTAACTTTTGTCCAGCATTAGTGAGATTGCTATGTTCTAATTGTACCAATACAATGGAAGATGCACAACCAAGGGGGGTGATGAGGCCTTCACTCTATGCTACTCAGTTGGGATTGATTTTTTTTTTTTTAAATTGTTCTCAGATGTTTGTAAAACAACGTGTTTGATTTCTAGGTGGCTCTGAGAGGCGGCAACTCAGCCGTGCTCTCTAATGTCATCGATGAGCTTGTAAGGTTCCGTGCGAAGGTCCGTCATTACGCACTTGCTCTGCCAGAAGCAGCAGAAGCTGTGCCGATGGAGGCTGCTGTGGGAGCCAAGGGATCGAAACAAGAAGAGAAGGAGAAGAGGCAGCAGTTAATGCAGGAGAGGAAGCCCCTCCTGGAGGCTTGTGACAGTCTGCGTGGAGACCTTGCTGCCTTTGGAATCCACATACAGGTAGAAGACAGTAACCATCTTTGTGAGACCACTAGTCATTTTTTAAGACAGCATTTATTTTTGCCCTTTGTGCCCTTTTGGCAGCTTTCAGTGTTGTGCCCCACTCCCTGTATGACTGCAGTGGGAGGAGGTGGAAGTTGAGCCCTTGCCTGGTTGTACGGCCAGCCTACTCTTCTATTCCCCCTCAACCTTGTGATTCTGAGGCACAGAATCATTAAGGTTGGAAAAGACCTTTGAAACCATCAAGTCCAACCATCAACCCAACACCACCATGCCCACTAAACCATATCCTGAAGTGCCATGTCTACATGTTTTTAGAACACCTCCAGGGATGGTGACTCTACCACCTCCCTGGGCAGCCTGTTCCAATGTTTGACCACCCTTTCAGTGAAGAAATTTTTCCAAATATCTAATCTAAACCTCTCCTGGCGCAACTTGAGGCCATTTCTTCTCGTCCTATTGCTAGTTACTTGGGAGAAGAGACCAACACCCACCTCACCACAACCCCCTTCCCCTCAGCTGCCTCCTCTGCAGACTGAACAACCCCAGTTCCCTCAGCTGCTCCGCATAAGACTTGTGCTCCAGACCCCTCACCAGCTTCGTTGACCTTCTCTGGACACGTTCCAGCAACTCAATGCCCTTCTTGTAGTGGGGGGCCCCAAAACTGAACACAGTATTTGAGGTGTGGCCTCACCAGTGCCTCCACGCAAGCTGTAGCTACTTCTGCAGTTACTAAGGGTGTGTTGTTTGACCATTGAAAAGAACGTAATACTCAGAAATCCCCAAGTTGCCCAAGTTAAATCCAGAAGGAAGGGTACGAGTAATGTGAGCAATCTTTAAAAAGATTGCAGAGGAACTGGAAAGTAAACTGAGACGACTTATGAAAATAATGCATACCTCTACCCTCTCCATATTCCTCCACTAAAAAGAGAAGCTCTCATGAGAAAGCCTTCTCCATCTTTGGCAGCTCCATTCCCAACTGTTCCTGAGCCATAAGTACTTTACCCAATTCCTGTACCACTTCTCTCTCTCCCCTGCTCTCTACTTCTAGCCCCTGCCTAAGGCCACTGTGCTTTTCCCACTCCATTACCCCAGCAGTGTCTTCTGCTCGGGATAAATCCCTTTGGCTTATTGTCGTCTTGTGGTTTCAAGGCCCTTTTTTAAATGGGTGCCACTTCTTCCTGTCCCTCTTGCTTCACTGCCCTTCTCGCCTTCGCTCCAGCCTTTGTTGGGTCAGTGTTGCTCCTTACGTGTAGAATAATCTTCCGCTTTTTTCTCCAGTGTCTCTCTCTCTCCTTCTAGTTCATGCTGCTAGGTTTTTTTCTGCCCCACCCCCACCCCGAATTAAGCCTTGCATAGTCTCCTTGCATCGTTTGATGAATAAAGCACAGTGCCATTAGGGAGCGACAGCATACATCCTCTCTTAATTGCTGAACATGAGAGCTGTCATTTGTCAACACGCCTATTAAAACCAAATATGAAGTCTGGTCAGCTGTCTCGTGATCTCAGATGAAAGTGAACATGCCGATATAGACTGGGGTGAGGGCCAAAGCACAGCGGCGGTGAGCTACAGCTGTGAAAGCAAAGGAAGACTGTGGGAAGTTGGGACATCTGCTTCCTGAAATTGTTTGTACATGGCTAAATCCTCGCTCCACTTTTCTGTCAAGAAAGTTTGCAAATCCAAACAACTGCACTGAGACAAAGTCTCAGAGAAGATGACTGCCTTTTGATCTGTCTGGCAAAATGGCTGCAGACCCACCCCCACCCTTTTGAAGATTTGTTTCGGGTTGATTTTAAAGGGATTTATGGACATTTAATAACCTCCTAGAAATTTGCCTTAGCCAGGATTCAGCCCATTCCATTTATTTCACATTTTTTAAGTAACCTGAAGCTCAGCATAATCTGTCTCCTGCTTGGCCTAGAAGTTTGCTCCTGAAGAAGGAAGCATGCGTGCATGTATGACTGCACCTAGCACGCGTCCAAAACTTGAACTCCTCTGCTTTTTTTGCCGATAGTGTGGAAGTATCTGATGGTGTGCTGTGAAGGTTGCCCAGCTCCCGCCTTTGCAAATCCCAGAAGAGTCCCACAAGCCGAGTGACGCGGCTCTGCAGCTCCTCGCGCAGGCTCCCGCCTGCAGCCAGCCATGGCCCTCGCCACCCTCGTGCTCGGCATGGGTCTGCTTGGCTGGGCTGGTTGGGTGCCCTGGCTTGGTTAGTGACAAAAATGCCACAGTAACAGAGCCTCGCAGCTGGGTCCTGCTTTGCCTATTAAGCACGTGAGGAAGTAATTTGAATTTTTTTTCTACCCAGCCTCAGCTCTCCGTAAAATTTTTGCGAGCCCCATGATACGCACGCGGTAATGCATCTGCGAACGTGCCCTCCTCCTGTCGCGTGCGGCTGCAGTCAGCCGGCAACTTCTCAAGCAGCGGAACATACGAAAGCAGACAAGCCTCATCTCTGCCCAGAGCAGACTTAGGAACCCCTGCTTGGGGCTTGGGCAGGAGGGGTTGGCTGCTCTAGGTGCAACTTAGGGAATGCTAATAACTTAATTCCCTTAAAAATCAGCTTTGAAGAAAGGATAGTTTCTTTTTCAGCTTCTAAGTTTGTAATTTCTGTCCACTGGTTTCTTCTGTCATGCCGCTCAACATGGACGATGTTCTGTTTCTCTGAAGTTACAGAACTTGCAACAGACTGATAAAATTATCCACCAGGCTTTTCATGTCATTGTTGTGTGTGTGAAAGGCAAGCTAATCTGTGCTATTGAGTGAAATGTAGTAATTAGATATGTATGTATCAAAAAGTTTTCACTTTATTGTGCTAGGCTGGAATACAATGTAGAATTTTTACGAGTCAAGAGCTCATGTAACATTTTAGTATGTATGTTAAACACATTTCCATATTCAGGTAACTTTTGTTTTGGTGTCAACAGCTCCATCTCATGTCAGAAATGCTCAGTTTTTAACAGACGTTGCTTATGTGACAGCCGACTCGCCGCTGCAGCATCCCGCACTGAAGAGGTGGTGCTTCCAGTGCAGGGGGGGCTCTTTGCTCCTTAACACGGAACAATGGTCTGGGTTTGTTGTACGGCTTC